ATGAAGCTGTTGGCTGTGTTCCTCCTGGTCTTTTCCATGGTGGCTCTGACCAGTGGTGTCTGTGAGTATTTATTAATGATAAAGAATTCATAAAGTGACTAAAACACAGACAAACGCACCAACTCCTGTTCAACAAAGCCACAGATGCCCCAGATTATGGCTCTGCTGGTAAAGATTGGTTTGTCTTTTTTGTCATTGCTTTTTATTTCTTATGTCTGATTGCTTGAACCTCAACTAATCCATAGTAAACATGACATAATTTGTTATAGTATACTTTACTAAAACATAACACATACTGTTTTTTCAGAAAGTTCATATTTATTATCTCAAAGTTTTCACTGTTCCTTGCAAAGTAAACACATCGTGGATGTGTCTGGATACAAGTGTCTGGATAATTTCTTGTCATTGAGGGATTTATCTTTTTTAATAAATGTAATATCGAATCATCAAGACTCATGCCACGCCTCCTGTCTGAAAATACCTATTTCTTTGTTATCAGCACAAGATAACTTGCTCAAGGGGTCCTGTTGTCCTTCTGGATGGACTCCGATCAACGGTCGCTGCTTCCTCTACGTCGCCAGTGAAATGAGTTGGGCAAAAGCCGAGGTGATTTCCAACAACGTTGTACTCTTATTATTTTGCTCTCTTGTATTTCACAGTTCTTAAATAAAGTCCTCCTACTTCTTCAGCACATCATTATGTGTTTATCTGTAGAAAAACTGTCTGTCCATGGGGGCAAACCTTGCATCAGTTCACAACCCGTACGAGTACCATCAGGTTCAGAATCTGATAGCTGCAGCAGGTCACGGGTCCAAAAAAGCATGGATTGGAGGCTCTGATGAGGAGCAGGTATTTCTACCAGGATACTTTAGTTGTGAAATATTTTATAAGACATTGAATGAAACATATCATCTGCTGAACTTTGTCTTGAAGGAGAATATTTGGTTGTGGAGCGATGGAAGCCCGATGATCTACACAAACTGGTGTCGAGGGCAGCCTGATAATTGGAAAGACAACCAGAACTGTGCAGTGATGAACTGGTCAGGTAAAGAAAATATAGTATCTCTCTTTTTCAGTTGGTATCAGGACTCATGGATGAAAAGCCTATTTACTCTGCAAGTCAACTTTTTAGTTGACCTCCACATACAGTTGAAAGCAGAAGTTTAAATTTGATCAAATTCATTCAGTTAAAGACGGATATCCCTGATACTGACCTAACTTATGTAAACTTCTGGATTGGATGAAAAATGTTCTGTTTAAGTTTTCTGGAATTTACCAAATATAAATAATTTTGGTAATCCTAACAGACCTTAAACAAGAGAAGTTTGGTCTGATTTAACTTCAAAGAATAGGAAAAACATGTTTTTGTTTTTATTTTGCGCATATAAATATCTGGCTTCATCTGTACATTTACTGCATTAACTGGAGCTTCTATTAATATTTTTTGTGGCAAGAAGGTTTAATCAACCGTTTCAATCATTTTTTATGATGTAGTGTTAGGTCACTTCAGAGTTTTCATTATATGATGTTTGACTGATTTGTTGTTTTGCTCCTAGACAACAAGTGCTGGGATGACCACATATGTGATGTGAGTCTGCCTTCTGTCTGCGCCAGAACAGTCTGAAAACTGTGAGGTTCCCAAAGAGGCCTGATGTGTAAAACAGAACCAGTGGAGGATGAATGCTAGGAGTTTCTGTTTACCTGCCATTTTGCAACTTTATAAAGATATTTCTGCTTCTTCACTTCATATCATTTCTGTCTTTAATGCAACCTAAGGAATGAAGCGACAAGTAAACAGCAGCTGGATTGTCTCTCTGTAATAAGATCAGACTGAATGAGTTATAATAATGGATCATGTTAGCAAAACTTTCTTCTATTCTTTGACTTAGCAAGAATAAAACTTTGAGCAATCAAAACAAGATGGTGTGTGGTTTATTCTGACTTTGTGTTGTTCTGTTTTCTGAATTATTTTTTTAACATCAGCACTACGTGGTTATGCTACCAATCACCCCTGATTAAAATAAATGGCAAATTTGAGAAAGATACTGCGAACAGTTAGGCCCTTCAACAGCTAGTAATCAGGACAAAGTATCTGCCATACTATAATATAGAGGGGAGAAAAATTAAGACACTGCAAATATCTATGAGGTTTCAAAATAAAGCTTTAAAATCCTGCAAACCATTCAAGAAGAAGATGGAAAGTCAGTGGAAAACATGTAGAGCAGAAATGTGGATGAAAGTCTGGTGAACCAAAGAGCCAGAGAAAGGATAATGGTTGAAAGGTGAGAAGATAACGAGTTAAAATGTAAAAACTGCATAAATACGATCTGGTTTGAAAGTGAAGTCATGCAGAGGAACAGGGGGATTTTCCACTGGCAAAGAAAGAGCTGAAATGTTCAACTTTGAACATTAGATGGCGCAATGTGAGAATAATTCAGGTGATATATTCTGGGTCACACAGTGGATGTGTGTGTTGTTTTTATATTCATTGTGATAAATGACAATATTATTGTCTTGAGACCATTTTCAAGTAATGTTATGGTAAAGGCATAATAATGCAAGAACACATTTTCAAAGATCAATAAACTTTAAATTCTGATGAACATTTATCACTGTGGTTGGAAAACATTTTAAATATCCAAAATAAACAAACAACACAAATGACAAATAAAATGAATTATAGATTCTCTAAAGAAAACTGAAATTCATAAAAAAGGGCAAGTTGAGACCAAAGCACCAGACTACAGACTTTTCTCATCCAGCTTCTGGTAGAAAGAAAGAGAAAAACATGTAAATGGAAAAAAATCTACAAACTGTGAAATATCTAAATCTGTTTTACATCTAATTAACCAAACTTGTTGCACACCTGGTGTGGGTTTGTCCAGGAGTGGCCAATCAGCTGCCAGCCAGGCAAACTGGCATAACGGCTGAAATGTGTGGGAGGAAGAAGGGAGGATCCAGAAACCAGGCTAAGACTGCCTGCAGGGTCAGGAGGTCAGGAGACTCACCTGGAGACAAGCTGACTGCCGTAACGTGTTGCCCGACCCAGCAGCGGAAGCAGCAGGGCGGCAGTGAAACCTCTGCACGTGTCATGCAGTGCTGTGTGGGAGTTTTCTCTTGGCATTTTAAAGGTTCAGTTTTTAATGTGCATTTTATTGTGTCCATTTCCTTTTTGTTTCTTGTTGCTGGGAATAAAAGTATGGTCAGTGATTGAAGCTTTCTGTTCTTTAAAAAGCCTGTCCTGCCTATTTTGGCCAATGAGGGTTTATTTATCTGAAATGTCGCAACATGTAGCAAGAAAGTCACTGAGTAAGCAAATGTAGGGTGACTACTGTTAACTACAAGAGTGCAGACATGACCTGGTGGCTGGGTCTGTCAGTCAAACCTCTCACAGCTGAGCAAAAGAGGACAGTGGTTGAGTTTAGAGCTAATTTATTCTTTAAAAACAAACATATTAACAACACGTTTAGCACTAAAGTTGTTCTTAAATGTAGTAGTAAGACAGAATGAACACAATGTGGCTGAAGGTTTGAACTGCACCAACCACTTTGCGTTTTCAGGTTAGTTTTTTATGCATGATAGTGACTGGAATAGGTCAAAGTTCAAACCAACAACTGCAAATATTTGAAAGACAGTAAAATCTACTCCAATGTGTCACAAACTTCATAAAAAATTATGTATTTCAAAGTCACTCTCTTGCAATCACAAACCAAACATTAGACAAAACTGTGGCGTCTGTCTGAGCTCATAAGTGACATCAGAGATGCTCATAGCAACATCTGTGACCAGAGCAAGATTTTGTGTAGAAAAAACAATATTCACCAAAACACAAACCATCTGTAAACCGAAAATATTCAAAATATTCTGACCTGATCAGTTGGAGGACATGGGCAGTGATGCGTTAACGAGGTCCGTAGGTGGAGGCAACAGGAAGAGGGTGTGGTGGCGCTGCAGGACGTCCAGCCGTGAGATTTAAATCTGTCAATAATCTGAAGAGAAGAAAAATATTATGATTCCAGAAATAAAAGTAAAAACATAAGAAATGTTTATTCATTATTCATTGTGTATTTTACCTGTTCAGTACACTGCAACAACAAACTCTTTTGGTCTAGTTTCTACTGCAAATATTTCAGTACACCTGAAATAAGACAAAACTAAATTACAAGTAACTTTTCAGCAAGAACTAGGATCTTGTTTAAGTAAATAATTCCATGATGACAAAGTACTGGGTCTACCTGCAGATTATTTCACTTATAACAAGATATTTTCCCATGTTCTAAGAATTATTTACTTAAAATAAAAAGGTCATTATGATGCCAAGTTGACAATAATTATGCTTTGGCTTACTTAGAGAAACTGGGATCCACTCAGTTTTCATCATCAGCAGATCAGAAGATTCCTCTATGATCCATTTCTTGTTGGTCTTCCTCACCTTTTACAAAAACATTTAACACAGACGTCATTCAAGCAGCCCAAACTCCATCGTTCTAACAATGGAAGCAATTCAGAAATCATTTTGTTTGTATTTTGTTCATTTCTTATCAACTGAGCGATTTTTACTTAACATTCCAGGTTTTCAATCATGGTTGTAAAAAATGTAATGGAATAAATAAAATTGAATCAAATCATTTCTAATTCTGGATCCAATTTTTAGTGATAAAATCTGACAGCTCAACAGATGTTACTGGCATCACAGTGATATAAAAGGCTACAATGTTAAGCAATGCTGCACTGACTGCTGTATTTTGTTGTCCATTATTTGCAAGTTGCATTACTTGAAAGCACATTTGCTTTTCTTTTATATTTCATATATTTTGGCACAGTTACAACCTAATGCAAACAAAATGTGTCACTTTGACCGTGAGTGCCACAGTGTGTGTGAGCTGAAAGCTGAATGAATGCAGCCAAGAAACGCTGACAAGGCAATATGCTAATTAGCTCTGCGTACGGCTAGCTAGCCTAGCTGCTACACTACTCTGCTAAATAACTAAAGCAACAGGTAATTTAATTACATTAATTTTACTGCACCTGTGTTCGTCTCGTTTNGATCACCGATCATGCACTTTTTCACGAAAATCGGCCCAATTATGATCGGTGACCGATCGATCGGCACACCTCTAGTGCTTACAGTTTTTGCAAAGAATTCATGAACTATTTGAATATGCAAATTTAAATGCCACATATTATAGATCTTAGTAATAATGTCATTGCAATTTGGAAAACCTTCAGAAGGTGAAAAAACACCATGTTCCAATTTATATTCTGGTTTTATCTATGTTTTTTCAACCTGAGAACTTTTGTTTTTACCAGTTTATCAAGCAACATTTTACTGCCTGAATCTGTTTTCGTTGCTTTAAAACTTCTATGTTTGCCTAAAAACTCAGACAGCCGACCCAGAACGCTGCTGCTTGTTCTCTCACTAAAACCAGGAAGATGGAGCACATAACACCAGAGCTAAAGTCCCTACACTGGCTCCCTGCAGCTCCGAGGATACACTTGTATCAACCTTCCAGACCTCTCAAGTCTTCTGGTTCTGGTCTGCTCTGTGACCCAGAACCAGAACCAAACACGGAGAAGCAGCATTCAGCTTCTATGCACCACAAATCTAGAACTTCCAGAAAACTGCAAAGCAGCCGAAACACTGAGTTTCTTGAAATCTCGACTAAAAACTCCCACCTATTCAGAGCTGCTTTTGTACCATAAAAAATGAAACCAATGTTTTGATCTGTAATGACTGCACTTAGAAATGTAACGTTTCAATTGTTTTTATAATGTGAAGCACTTTGAACAGCCTTGTTGCTGAAATGTGCTACACAAATAAAATGATTGATGCGACTTATAAATAAGTGAAAAATATGGTGCAGATTGGCATTAGGACCCATTTACTCATATCTGTGGTAAAATTCAGTGCCAGGATTATGATGCCAATACATAATCTTGTGTAGGACACCTAGAACTGGCTCTGCTGACTTCCTGATACATAGATAATAGAGCCACACCAGGTAACATGCTCCATTTGTCACTATAGCACCTGAAAGCCAATGAATGTTTCATAAAACTGTCATAATGTGTCAGGAAGAATTTTCTGTACGTCACCTGATCAGTGCAAATAACTAGTTTCTAAACCTTCCCAGCAATTGAACAGTTTTACAGCTTATTTCAAATCTGAATATAAGTGTCACAAAAAAGGCAGTGATGATTTTCTACAGTTTTTCAGCTTCCTGGCTTAAGTCTACTTTTCTGTCTTAACTAATATACGATAAACTTTCTGTTTCTGATGGTGAGGAAAACAGATCACCAAATAGTTAAGAATAAAAAATATAACCATGTAAGGTCTAGTTCTGAATTAATTTATTTCAGCAAAGAAGTTTATTTCAGTTTTTTTTTGTTTTCTATGTATGAAAAAAATGACACAAACATTGCTGTTTATTTATTATCAGAGAGCAGGAGATGAGTTGATTACAGGTATCAAACCCTCACCAAACAATTTAAAGCACAATAACTGGATTAAGTTAAAGTTAGAAGTAATCATGTCAACTTTTGACTCCTGTGAAGCCAAAAGTTGATGGCTGATTAGAAGAAAAAGAAACTCATAATTTTCTGCTGATGTTTGACCTGCAGATTTACTTTGCAGGACGGATTTTCATGCTGATGCTCTTCAGGGAGAAATCAAATCCCTTCCAATCTGTGCAGCTCACTCCCACAGGTTAGGATGAGGTTTTCT